CGGGTGGTCAGCTATTTTATCCATCCATCCACATAAGTTCGTTAATGAGTTTGGAGTGTCATGACGAAAGAAGTATTTTCGTACTATACTATCTTTGTCAGTGCACTAAATCCAATGCTTTTCCATTAATTCCATACATCGAACATTTGAAATCAACATTCAGTTTTAAATTACGGTCAGACTGATTGATCTTTCTCTGGATAGATCTTTGCGAAAAGGTTACCTATACTTCTACACTCTTTGTTTCTAAATAACTCTAGCTATCACTAAGTTTAAACATTTACATTATAATGGATGTTTCGATAAAATTTAGAAATTAAATCATTTGCTATTTATGTGTGTAGGAAATTTTATTTTAAACTTTTTCCTTTTCAGAATGGTCATAAAAAACGTTACGAAGTTGTAAATAAACAGAATTGCTATACATTTTAAGGATATTGTATCGTATGCTAAAAATGTTCATTAATTCATTTATCAAGTAACTTCTCTACCAAAGAGATTCGAGTAAAATTGAATGAGAATCTGACAGTAGAATAAATATATAAGAAAATTTAATAAATTTCTACTTCGAAATGATTCGCCGAAGAACTGGCGCCATCGAAAACAAAAATTATTTCAGAATAACAATTTCTACATTAGCCAGTGTATACTGCGCATTGTCTGCGTTTTATAAATTGGATTAAGATTTAACATTTATTCCACTTTTTTCCGATTTATATCGACTAAAAATAAGAACTTGTCTACATTTTATGTTTTGTAACCCAAAATGCAGTTTAGATTCAATAAACAGACATGTTCGTCTAAAAAATTAAGAAAGTGGCAGCTTAATTCTCACCACAGGAGATAGGAAAATATAAACACTCAAACATTCCAGTGGCTGATGGCTACGGTTCTTGTAGCGACATAAAACAGGAGTGGACGACATTAAATTTAAATCTTAAACAAAGGTTATATTATAAACAAATAAATACGATTATAATTTTAAGAAGTGAGTCAGACCAAGAAGTTCTTACCACCAATATATATATATATATATATATATATATATATATGTTTGTGTGTGCATGTATAAATATAAATATGTGTATAATTATAAAGATATATATGTGCAAAAAATTTGTGAGTGTAAATACAAATGCATGTATGTGTATAAATATTTGTGTGTGCCAATACAAATCTATGTATGTGTATAAATATATGGGTGTATATAACTATAAATGTTTGTGTGTGCGTATATATATACATACAATGTGTGCGGTGGGGTGTACGTGTTTACTGGGGCAGTTAGCAGTTATGTCAATATTTTAATTTTGCCCATTACAAGTCTTGACTGAACAATAAATTTTCAAATTCTATAAAAACAAATTTTAAACTTGACAAAATATTGAAACTATTTATTTTCTCTTTAAAATTAAAGTTTATTTTTCAACGGTATTACCAATTAGTGTTATATATTCTTCCCTATTTTCTCCCCACTTTTCATTCTCTATTGTTTCTTTGGAGCCAATTTAACACATCAAATACAATTTTGGTATTGTTGAACTTTCGTCAACGTTTTTCGATTTTTGGAACAACCAGATGTCTGGTAATGACAAATCTTGATTTCTGGTGTTTTAAATTTCACACACACACACACACACACACATATATATATATATATATATATATATATATATATATATATATATTTGTGGGACAGTGGAGTAGTGGCTCTGGTTGAGGAATCGGAGAGCATAGTTCTATTACATTCACTTACAAATTTGCTCGTGTTAATACCCTTGGGAAATGTATTAATCCTCATCTTTTCCCTCCAGCTATGGATAAATAGCAGGACAGACTAGGTTCTATAGCCTTGGATGGCAACTGGTCTAGGAAAAGGACAACTCGGAATTCGAGACCTGCGGAGAGTTGTTTAGGGACCTTGTGACACGTAGTGCACCAGGTCTCTGTATTTGGCTCTACAAAAAGTGTGGATGGTTCTGCACGAAGCTTTCACCATTATAATCAAATTGTATGTGCTAGTGTCTGGCCTGTCGGTTCCTAGAAACTGAGCTGCTTGACCCTCATACTTCGAATAATTCCTTTATCCTCAGGGACACATGGCACAGTGGAAAAAGGTGTTGGTGCCCCCCAGATAAACTAACAACAAATACCTGTTGCAAAATAAAATCCTTACATTTGCCTCGATAAAATCGATAAAAATTTTATTTTGCAACAGGTATTTGTTGTTAGTTTATTAAAAAATATTTGAATTTAAAAAGCGCTCAGTCATCTAGGTAAATTATGGAGGATGCTAAGTGACATAATTTAATGTCTTATAAAAAATGAGTAAATGATGTTATTGATTTTTTTTATAATATAAATAATATTTAAATTACTTTAGTTTGGGTGTAATTTACGTATTTTATATTTTAAATAACAGCAGGTTATAACTTCAACTGTTTACTTTTAATTCTTAAGAAAGGAGTAATTCTTTCAGAATGGAGATATTTGAAAAAAATCTGGGGGGCACCAACACCTTTTTCCACTGTGCCATGTGTCCCTGTGGATAAAGGCATTAGTTACATCCAATGACAGGACCCAAAGAGTGTGAGTTCAATATCCGGTTAAGGCAGTGGAGAACTTGCAGAGAGGAATTAACAAGAGATAACTTATAACTGACATTCAGTAAACATGACACTTGGAACTAGAACAGTTTACCCCAGTGAGCGAAATAAAGGGTTCAGTTCGACATTCCAACCACCTGAAGAAGGCCGGAACGTACAACGGCCGAAACATTGTAATGAATATGGCGACAAAGATGAGGATAATAGTCCGAATAATGTAAATAGTGTACTAAAATTGTTGTAAAGTCTGTATGGTTGTTGTAGAGTGAACGAAAAGTTTTTCTTCCTCCGTATGATATCCAAATCCCTCGTCGCCAAGTTGTTATAGAGTAGTTTCACAGTGGAGGCTTGTATTTCACTCAGTCGATCCTTAAATAGGTTCGACGTACAAAACGTTAGGAACTTGATATAATAGTTAATGACGCAGCAATCTAGTTGTGGTGGTTGATACTTAAATGTCCGACATCGACTGACTGACCAACTCACTTAGCGACTGCTACTACTTATTATAGGTGGGAGAGTCTATTAAGTATAGAATAGGTGTGTTCCACTATAACAATGGTATTGAGGATCATTTATTGTACATGACTGATAGTGACTCTACAGATGATAGTTTAGAGATTTTATATGAATCCAGCAAAGATGAGTACTTGGGATTTGAGGAGGAATAAAATTTCTTTTAAATTTAATTCCTTTTTATGAAAACAAAATTACCCTGCAACAATGAAAGATGTATAGTACATTTACTAACTACCATCTAGTATGCCATTACCATACAAACAAAATCGGACAAGTGATTAATGTAAACAATACGGTACTTTATCAGGCGTTAACAGTCTTTATTATTGTTACTACTACTTTTAACCGGTGAAAATCTCAGGGTTTTCTTATATTAAATTTCTGATGAATCATAATTCTTCAGTTAATGATTGAATAAGCTCATTGCGAGTTCTACGACAATAAAATATCCGTATAGATTCCCGTATTGCATCGTTAATTATTTGAGCTTAACATCTTTAAGAAAATATTGCAATATCAATCAAAAATATGAATGTTGTTATTTTAAGAAGTGGGTACAAATGAAAGGATTATAAACTGACACCTTTTTACATTTTACTGAAACTGACGTTCCACACTTCGATCTTCCTTCCTTTATTTCATTTTCTCACTGAAACCAAGTATCGTCTTCGATATGTCTTTTTCTTCTCATGTGATCAAAACGGAATAGTCTATTATTTATGAGATATTAGCAGGAGACGTGAAATATTTCTATCTTTATTCTTTCTTTTTTCCACTGAAACCATGTAGCGTGTATGATATGTCTTGTCTTTCCACGCGGTCAAAACTGAATAAACCATTATTTATGAGGTATTGGCAGGGCGTAACGGTCGTGCGAATTAAGGAAGTAACAAAGGAAGGGACAACTGTAATTATTGTATGATATTTTAGGTTCTTCAGAAGGTAAAAATTTCGAGTGGAAGAATGTTAATTATATTATTAAAGTCAATTTGTCATTAACAATGGTAAACGTACACACTTCTTTTTTATTTTATTTTTATTCCCCAAGACATTTGCTAGTTAAAAAAAAAAAAAAAAAAAGTGGCAAGCAATGTGATTTTAAAAGTCAAGACAAGTGTGTTCGATCCTTATAGGGATCCTCTTTTTTGACTTTGGATTTGAAAAGAGTGAATTTCGGAAATATACACGGACGTAATGATCTCGTTGCTTTTGACTGTTGTCTTCATCTTCTTCAACATTTTTGTCGCAACCTTAATTCTGTAAAACTTTCTACGCCACATTGGTATTATTCTTTTGTTTGCACATCTCACCGAAACTAACAATTTGAGCCAAGTTGCATGCAAACATGGAACTGGAAGCGGTTTCATTTTTGCAGACACACCTATGTCCTTTATTAAAACAATCAGGACAGCCTTTGATGTTTATATACTGACCAATGTGTCGTATGCATTTATTTGATATAAGTACGATAAAAATAGTGACACTTGTTAATTAAAATAATAGTAATAAACTTTTAGGTTAAGCCTTCAGAATTTTGGCTGTCATTTTGGTGGGGAAAGTCACTAAGTTTAATTTGTTTGGGCAGCGGTATCCGTCTACGGAAAAGCCATTCTCTATTACGATTAACAAAGAGGATCAGGGCGTTTCCTGTTGGCTACGTTTTTGAATGACAGATCTCATGCAATTTGTTGAAAAGCCTCATGTGAATAACTGTTGCGTGTCGAATTTCGCGTCATGTGAGGATGAAAATAGATATCAATTTTCTCTTTTTTTTCTCGATTTATTTTTCTCTTGTCTTTAAAGAATTGCTTTTTTCATCTTGTAGCAAGTTGGTATTTTGATTTCTTCTAATATTTATTTATTTTTTTTACAGGAATGTTTCTCCACGGCTCGCCATTTTTACATACAGGACTTATTTTCTTACTTATCAACCAAATTCACAGTC